ATGTGGTTGTGCTTTCAGATTTGAACAAAAATATTGGCGGATCGACGGATTTGGTGAAAAAAGGGCACGGATCTGCGGATTTTCAAACCCCAATTCACACCCCTCATATATAGAAACAACTCTGCAGCAATTGTAGTTCAATTGTAGCAAATGTTGCAAATTACAATTCATGATCAATCACTGAGATAGACTTCAGTCATAACGATCAAAGTGATCATTGTGGTCATATGAAAACCGCTCTCCAGAGATGAACCATTTGCCAGAATGCAGTGTGTTGTTTGATAGAGGCCCTCTCTCAACTGGTGTTTTTTAATTCTGATGAAATCATGGCAATCATATGGAATTATGGAAACTGGCAGTTGCAATAATTGCTCAACTTGTTTAGGAAAGATTGATTATTAGACAATGATCATTAACAATGGCATGTTTAGAACGTAAAAATAGCAAAATGGCAAATTGGTACAGACTACAGTTAGCCTGAATAGTGCTCAGGTTAGCTTAAATATCACAGACTTGACAGTGGTTAATTCTAGACAACTATACTTTACATTCAAGACTCTTATTAGTAGTGCCATTTCACCATTTTGCCATTTTGTGTTTAAATACACCCTCATAACAATGATCATAATAAATTATTATGGAAATCAGCCTTAAGAGAATAAATTATCCCACCCAAGAGCACAACATGACTAAATAATAATTATAATTATAATAATAATAATAATTAAAATTTATAGTAAGAGCACAATTTTCCATGACGTACATGATCAATAATGTATCCTGACCTACACGATACCAAATGCATACATGTAGGAGTACTCACACTGAACTGGATTATTTACTGGTGCCGCTGAATCTATTAACACTTGAACCAGCTCCGTATAACCTGCTTTACACGCTTCATGCAGAGCATGCCAATTTCCTTGTGAAGTCACAGATGCCCCTGCCTGGAGCAAAACCTTTACAACTTCAACATATCTTCCTTTAGTTGCCCACATTAGTGGTGATCGTCCAAATCTATCCACATCGTCTAAAGGGGAACCAGCTTCTATGAGAATTTTTACGACATCAGCATGGCCACTTGACGCAGCTACATGGATGGGGAGCTTTCTGCGTGGTTCTAAAATAATGCAACATAATATTAAATTAAGTTTACGTGACGATATTTAACTAAATTATGAGCTTGAGATTTGGGTGTTTTCACAATTTATAACATAACATAACATAACATAACACAACAAATAATGTTTTATTCAAGATATAATTATAACAAAAACAAAATTCATCTTGAAATGGTAGAAACAGAGGTTGGCCCTATGACATTTCACCTTAAAAAAAAGGATTAGAATTAAAAATATCTATTTATCTATTTATCTATATACAATAAAATATTCATTAAAATAGCTACAAGACTAAGTTAAAAAGACGCTGTAACTCAGTGACTAACAGAATTGTGACATCCCAATGCTATCATTCTAGTGGTCAGGGTAAATTAAATCCTTAATATCAAACATTTAATATTCTTATTGGGTGGAGGGTTGTTTGCCTCAAAGGTAGGGTGGCCATTGAGTTGAGCCAACTTAAAACCCAAATTAATAAAAACACTTTTGTTGGTTTGCTTTGCTTTGCCTCTATGAAGATGTAACGAACATGCCTGACACCAAGAGGGCCACAGTTTCGTTTTGTCAGAGTGATCGGCTTCCTCTATATGCTATCTACTCAGTAAGAGTGGGGTAGAAGGATTAACTCCCAATCACAACAATTTTTCCCTAGCTTTGACATCATGAGGACCACACAAACTGTAATCATATTAGCAAAGTTACCTTTTATGTTCACATCCGCTCCAGTCTCAATTAAAAACTTTACAAATTCCAGGTAGCCATTTCTTGCTGCAAGATGTAATCCTGTTTCTCCCTGAGTCCATGTGATATTAGGATCCAACTTCTTAACATTGAAAATGGTCCTTGCCTAGCAAGAGTGAAAATTCCAGGTTATGGTAAGTTTATGTTATGGAGGTGTGATGGCCTTAAGGTTAACTGTTGGACTCTGGGTCAAGTGGTCCATGTTCCAGCCCTGGCCGGGGTCATTGTGGTGTGTTCTTGGGCAAGACACTTTACTCTCACAGTGCCTCTCTCCACCCAGGTGTATAACTGGGGCAAATTTTAAGTTGGGGGGTAACCCTGTGAGGGACTAGCATCTCATCCAGGGGGAAGCAGAAATACTCCTAGTCACTTAGTGCTACTGACAGAAACCAGGATAAGCCCCGGCTGTATAGGCCACTTGGCATGATGCGCTGCAGTCTCTACCTTAAGTTTATGTCTCCTCTAATCCCGAATATCAGACTAGCTGGCTGGCTTCGTGATCCAGCAATTTATACTTGTTTTCATAGCATGAGTATAGCAAGAAGTAGACAAATGCTTCTCTTCCCCTAGATGGGATGCTAACCCATCCACTGATTTGTCACTTGAGACATTCACTCAGAAGGTCCTAACTGTTTAACCACTACCTGGCTGGAGACTGAGGCACTGTACTGAGAGAGTGAAATGTCTACTTTTCCAAGACAACACCATTGAATGAATGTGGTAGCTCTACACAAACCCATGCCATGCGTCTCATAGCTGGTTATCGTGAGTGAATAATCATGACCAAGAAAAAACAGTCAACGCAAAGATCTGTGAGTTATACCATGTGCTGTACAGCATCTGTTAAATCTCTGTAAGTCTCTTACATGAGGAAAGAATCAAGCCCTCGCTACGCCTTTTGATAACAGACAATCCTTGAAGTTCAAAACCTAACAATTAAGCTTTTGGCTTCTATCAGTCATAATAATAATTTATTATTACAACAACAACCAATGAACCTGGTAAAAAAGAACAAAATGGATCGAAATCTACCAATCACATGTCAATGTGACCCTCTGAACCCCTTGAAGTTTCCTGAGAGATCTGAGGAGCAGACTGATTGCAGCAAAACATGAAACCTTTGATATTTGGGCAAACTTGACACCTGTTATTGAAAGGTGCAGTAAAGATTGCTTGCTTTGGCTAGTCTTGTGTAAAATTTAAAGCTAAAATTATTACTAGCAACTTTGTTTTCTTTTCTTCAAATGTCAATTAAACTTACAGTTACCTGAACAGATGCTGTTTTTAATGTTTTAACTCTGACTTTACCTTGAGCTCCAGTCAAATTTGTTAACAATTATATTTTTTATATATATATTGAAATCTTTCAATTATTATACGTCAATTTCTTTAGTCCTTTAGGTTTAACGAGCTTAAGCCTTCAGCTAAATCTCAGCATTAATTAAGCTTATAAATCTTAAGCTCACTTCATCAAGATTTCCCTCTCTAATAGCTGCCAGAAATTCTACAACCCCAGTTTCTCTTGGGTTCGCCAGCACAACGTTGAGAGATCGTTGAGGCCTAGGTCGATCGAAAAATGGATCAAAACCATTTCCTTCCTCCTCCATGTATTCCAAAATAATGCTGAGTCAATTCAACAGCAAGAATAAGTGATAAACAGTACAAAACAACCTTGTGTGGCCACGAAAATGCAAGTTGACTTCAAGCTGTTACATGTAGTGAAGTGGGCTCAAGTCATCATACCCATATTAGGAAACAATTTTTCCGGCTTGAATTTGTTATTCCTTAGTCATTCTAATGTCTTGGCATTGTGTGTCATAAGTCCGTTCCTTTTATACGATCTAAAAATATACGGCTGACTTCACCTTCGCCACACCAAACGACAGAAACAGAGGAAGTTAGTGCAGTACTAGGGGCATCCCCGCAGTACTATACTTCTAATTCTAGCGACTTCTTATTCAACTCTTTCCCAGCCTCTCTGTTACCTTCCTCTTTTGGGGAAAAGGAGAGAGCCTGAGAACGAGGTTGTGCGATACAGTTCTACTCTTTTTGAAGTCTGACAAAATAGGTTCTTGTATCTTGGGGTAGTTAACTGTTGGAAATTTAGGCTAAGTAGGTTCTTATTAGGTTCTTAATATCTATGAAGGCGATGTAGTTGTTGATTACCAAAAAATAAATGAGCTTGGGTTTGAGGTGGTCCTTAAATGTCTTAAATACACAGTCTTTATTTACAACTGTATTATGATAAGCCTACCCCTGAACTGATAACAGAATGTATATGTGTAGTGTTGCCTCTGTAACAAGAGTTCATAATTTAACTGTAACCCAGATATAATTAAGAACCTGCCTGATCTTGCTTGGTTAAACAGGTTCTTACATTGTTGGATTCTAAAATGGCAAATTTCTGCCAGCAGGTTCTTACTGAGAAACGCTATTCATGATGCATTTTCTGCAAGAGAAAACTTCGTGAACAACATAATTCACAGATTGCTATGTTTTGTGAGAAAAGATTTGGAAGGACTCTTGCCATGTACATGTGATGAGCTCATCTCACATACAAACGCACACGCACGCAATCGTGGGCCCACACTAAAAGATGTCGAGCGTTTTCGGAACGGGTCGGTCCACGAATTCTATGGCATAATTGAAAGCTGGCCAAATTATCGGCTAAGTTCATACTATAGTTCTCACGAGATAACCGAATTGCATGAGATATATATGAGTTCAAACTACGAAAACACAACAAATTATGATGCCTAGCCGACGAACACTTTAGTCACTTCACATGTTCAAAAAGTCAAGAATCTTCAATTCGTGAACAGAACTTCGGAGGCGAGGCAAACAACAAGCAATCGGATAAATAGGATACTCAACGACGCAACTATAATAGTAAATATCTAAGCGTAACTCTTGTGTTAAATATTCCCGCTGATTCTTTTGTTTGTTTTTACTGTGTTCAATACTTGTCAAATACGATTTAATTTTGAGATACGAAGTCCAGGAGATCTCAGCCAGCAATAGAGACAATAAAAGTCATAAATTCGTGCCGCAGAAAACCTATTTTGCAGTTTAGGAGTAGGTGGTCACCCAGTTATAAGAACGTTTCCCGGAGAAAAGATTTTTAACGGAAGAGGTTCGTTTGAACCAAAGACGCCGTTAAGATCGGAGTGGATTCCCTCGTCCTTTCGGTCATCTTATCGTACAGACCGTACATTCACTACTAGCTGTCATCAACACAGACGAAAGGAAGTTATTAAAATTGTACAAATGGAGTAAAGCATGTATGTACAGTATATAATAAGAAAACAAGCATGTACCTAGCCTGTGTAATTGTGGCTTAAATTCGGAATGAAAACTGAAACACGAGGGAAAAATGAAACGTGCCTATTGTGAAGCAATGACAGATGCTATTATACGCCAAAATAAGACTGTACCACAGGCTACAAAATAGGTGGTAGGCTTGGATAGGCTAAAAGGAATTACAAATTTCAGTATAGTTGCTGCGGGCTCCAAATGTTAAATAGATACTCGTTCAGTCTCGTTAATTTGATTGTTTTGTATGTAGATATAGAAAAAAGACTCCGTGGCCAGTCGAAATCGAAAGCGTATCCCATGGTTCGAAAGTCTGATAACTCGTGCGTCACTAATATTTTGATGGATCGGAGACGCTGTTTCAGCTGCTAGAGGCTGGGAATTTGAATTTCATTCTGATTTAAATTTCTCATCAAACGGTAAGTACGTTAAGTTAACCTTAAGTTTGTTTTGAACTCAAGAACTGACGAAAACTGTTTTTTTTTTATTTAAGGTAACCTATATCATTACACGAACACAGAAATCAGTGACATTTGTGAATTGCAATACACCACTGAGACTGAAGTATAAACTCGTCAAATTAACTGAATAAAAGACGTTGAGACGTTAGCATGGAAAAATTTGCCATACATTGTATAAAACTAGAGAAAAATCATAGTAGGTACACTGGAAGAGAAAAATAACGGCTTCATTAAATCGATTCTCGTGGATGGGCGCTAATTATATAAACGGAAAATTTGTCTTTGACTCTGAATTAATAAATTAAAAATGAGGTATTTTGACTTCGTTCCCATCAGAAAGCTATCCGTTTTATAGTTCAGTACCTTGCTGTTAGTTAAAGCATGGAATAGAATCTATGAGCGATGCTGTGATGATTCATCTGTTATTTTGCAGACAAAGTCCTTGTTGTGATCTAACGCGCTGTTATAGGCTTTTGTATTTTGTTTACTTCACTCTGCGAAAGAGAATTAGTGGTGAGTACACATTTGATTTGATTCATGCTTTCTCTAAACGTATTCGCCTTGTTTTGGGTAAATATCCTCACTTATTAATCTACTTTTATTTTTACATACAAACACACTTTATTGAACAACCCTAGAGGGGCTTTTAACAAGCAATGAACTTTTGAAAGAGACATAAACTTTTACAGTAAATCAGTTACAAAACATTGAAAGGGATAAAAATATTTACAAGATTTATGTTTAAAATGTATATTTCTTAAAAACTGTCACTAGTTTGCCAAGTTTTAAAGTCGTTTTAAAGTGTGAAGTAAAGATTTCAGACTGCGATTTTAACTTATGGCCGGGTGGTAGTCCGGCACGGGAGGGGGGGGGGGGNGGGGGGGGGGGGGGGGGGGGGAATTTCGTACCGTATAGGTATAAGTGCAGCCTGAAAGAGCTTGTAGTTTTGGTCTGAAATATGTATATGATATGGATGTTGCCCAGTTTGGTCTGATTTTCCTGTGTTGTCAACTCGGTCACGTTTGACCACAAACAACTGTTGCGTCAAGATTGTGAAACAAAACCTCCGAGCCTAAAACTGAAAAATGGCTTGTTCAAACTTACTGACTATATGACTTTTTCTCCATTGTATAATTTATCAACCCTAAGTTATTCTCTTCAGTTCTTATTATTGTCATTTTGCATTGAGAAGCTTTGAACGCCACTGACCAGTAATTCTTTGTTCTATCACAGGAAGATTCATTTTGCTCATCCAGACTGAATTGAATTTTATTCTGATTTTGACTCGTCAAGTAACGGTAAGAACAGTAAACTTAAGCTAGATATAAGATGTCGTCTATTTGATGCTCTCGTTTACATGTCTATTTTGTATTAGTAAAAATATTTTTAATGTTTTTTTTCAAATCAAGGACTAATGTATCATTGTCTTTTTAGGGAAATTAAAGAACCTTGTTGATGACGTAGGTGAAGTTGGATTTCCTTCTGATCCGCACATCTCAAGTGACTGTTAGAAGAGTAAGTTTAAGCCATGTTTTTATTACTACACGTGTAAAGTTTAAATCAATTTGGATTGTAGAAGGATCGATGTACATTTATGAAGGAAAAGTTGCAATGCTCAGTGCAGAAAAATATGCTTTAGAAGGGATCGACCGGAATGCTTGAAGACTTTCAGTTTCTAGCGCGCTTATTTTTGTCTGTGGTTTTTCTTTCTTGTGTTCATTTTGTTTGTGACTGTCAGGTTTTCACGTCTGTCTTAGCCTCTGACTGACTGACTGTGNTATTATTGTCATTTTGCATTGAGAAGCTTTGAACGCCACTGACCAGTAATTCTTTGTTCTATCACAGGAAAATTCATTTTGCTGATCCAGACTGAATTGGATTTGATTCTGATTTTGACTCCTCAAGTAACGGTAAGAACAGTAAACTTAAGCTAGATATATAAGATATCGTCTATTTGATGCTCTCGTTTACATGTCTACTTTGTATTAAAAATATTTTTAATGTTTTTTTTTTTTTTTCAAATCAAGGAGTAATGTATCATTGTCCTTTTAGGGAAAGAGCCTTGTTGATGACGTAGGTGAAGTTGGATTTCCTTCTGATCCGCACATCTCAAGTGACTGTTAGAGGAGTAAGTTTAAGCCATGTTTTTATGACTACACGTGTAAAGTTTAAATTAATTTGGATTGTAGAAGGATCGATGTACATATATGAAGGAAAAGTTGCAATGCTCAGTGTAGAAAAATATGCTTTAGAAGGGATCGACCGGAATCCTTGAAGACTTTCAGTTTCTAGCGCGCTTATTTTTGTCTGTGGTTTTTCTTTCTTGTGTTCATTTTGTTTGTGACTGTCAGGTTTTCACGTCTGTCTTAGCCTCTGACTGACTGACTGTGTTTATCTTCGTGTGAGGTTTACAGTTTTGTGCGTTTGGTTTGCGACTTTCAGATTTCCGTGTTATTTTTCTCTGTGAATTGTAAGTTTTGCGTCTAGACTTTCAGTTTTGCGTGTTTCTTTAGATCTGGGGTTTTCAGTTTTCTTGAGCTTATCTTGGTCGGTGAATTCCAGTTTTGCTTGTTTATGTTTCTTTGTGAATTTAAGGCTTGTTTGTCCATCTTGGTCTGCATGTAACTTTCATTTTTTAAGGGGTTGTTAGTATCTCTCAATTTTGTCGCTACTAAATTTCAAAATTGTGCTTCTATATCAGCAGAGTTTAATTTCAGACAAAACAGAGACTTTTTATAGAACTACGTGTCTTGAATAAACTTGTGATAGTTTTTTTTTTTCTGTTACCCTGCAGACAAACAGAGCCGTCCTCTTGTAAAAAACTTTGTATTCTCGAAACAAAGCGAAATGGAAGTGGTAAGTTTACTATGCATGTTATTAATAGTTAAATATGTTATCGGTTGTTTTTCAAACAAAAATGACCTTAATAGCAACGAAACATTATTGAAGTCGCTAATTATGTTTTACTGCTAACAATATCCGACAGCAAAAATATGACAGTCCTGTTTCACCTTATGCTGACAATTCGTCTTTTTGAAGGCAGCGGGAATTCGGTAACAGATTGTTGATCATTATTTTAATTATGCGCATGTCAAGATAGGCATATTATTGGAAACGTATTCATTCAATTTTTGGTCTTAATTTTTTCCACGTACGGTATTAAATT